GTAATATTAACATAACATAATGTTTAGGGACAAAATAGGACCTATTGGTCCATCTTGGCTGTTCCATCCTCAAAACTAAATTATCATTTATATTATCTGGCACTTCATAAAGGTATGCCCCCCCCTCCAGTGGCACAGCAGTATGTTTGTGGACTTACAATGCTAGAAACCTGGTTTTGATACCCATGGTGGGTAGAGCACAGATAGCCCATTGTGTAGCTTTGTGCTTAACTACAAACAACCATAAAGGTACACATTATATCTACTTTATGTGTATATTGCATACATTTGGTGGAACATAGAAAATTTGGGAAATGAAGCAATTGAACATAAACATTTATTTTACACCCAAGATAGGCAATATAATCTCTCAAAGATCTTTGATGAACATTGAAAGTATTAGTGTGAGTACTAAAACACTAAACAGTAGGCCGGATTTCCTTTGTATTTTATACAATAAGTAGACATCTTCTTGGCCCTCTTCATACACTCCTTCGACCGTGACTTTTCTCCCATTGTGCATAACATCCTGAGTACCTTTTGCATTTTTTTCCCTGTTGGTGCTTTCCTTGCTTTTATAGTCTCCCAAGTGTGTTTGCTCACTGAAGCAGACTAACGTGTTTCAAATCCATCTGATTCTTGGAATAGTGCTTCAATAACAGATTGTCTGAATTCAGCAATCTGTTCATATTTTCCATAAATTTTCTTGTAAATGATCAGTGCATTTACAACTGCTGTATTTAAAGAAATTGGAATGCAACTTTATGGTACCACTGAATACTTTTTCTAAGAGGTAAGAAGAAGCTGGCCATATGATTGGAAACATTAATGCCTTGCTTTCCAGAATTATAATACTGAACCATTTCTGGCTTCAGGATGTCTTTGTGGTTATGATTTTTCTTTCCAGTACTCTTGAACTTTAAATCATATTTGGTGGAAAGCATCAGTACATCTCATTTGTCTTTCCATTTGGCAACAACTATGCCATCAGTATCTTCACAATCAATGATATCGCCTTTTTTATTCAGGCTTTCTGTTGTTAAGCCTCTAGATTACTTGCCATATTTTTGTGTAGTACCACCATAAGGTGCATTTGGTGATCAAGCATGGTCTTGGCCAAGGAGATAGATGTATAGCAAATGTTTGCATCAATTAATCTTCCTTTATTCAAATATTTCTCTAAGAGGTCTAATGTGATTTGAGAAGAATATTTCACTCTATCAGTTTGTCTGTTTCATTGTTTGGAATCCTCTTTTATAGCATAAACATAGCTAGTGTATGTGTAACTATTTGAATCACACAACTTATATATTTTCAGATCACTTTTCCTGTACTATATTGTCAGAATTCAAGATGACCACACCATGACACCATAGTTTCATCAATAGCTGTCAGCTCACCGGTTATCTTAGCTCCAGTGAAATTTTTCTCCAGAATTTCATGCAGGTTCTGGTTTTTCCCAATTGATCAGTTCCAACACTTTGATCATCAGCAAAGTCTATGAAGTGTAATAATAATAATTGAAAGAAGTTTCATCACATGATGCTGGGGACAAAATCATTATTGTAAAAAAAATGTTTTTTGCTCCAGCACTACAATTTTTGGGTATTTCACAACCCCCATGTACATAAAAATTCCTAAATCTTCCTCATTTCTGCAGCATTTGTGTCTCTCCAATCATTCATCCCAAATTTTTAATGTACATGCTTGTGCAATAACTACCTGCTGGGTATTCAGGTTTGTTTGATCAACCAAGAAATTATAAATCTCATCTGTCACCATCAGGTTGAATATACCAATTGGTTTTGTTGTATTTGATTGCAAGATTTGATTCTGGGTGTACTGATAAATTGGATGACTTTCCGATGCATACCATCTATTCTGTGCCATACACTTGATGTCACTGGCATATCTTCATTGACATCATATGAGCAATTGATTACACTATGCACTATATCAGTGATGTCTGATGTACTTGAGTCAGTGTCATAGGACTCAGAGCTTATAATTGGAGAGGGTTCCTGATCTCTTTCTTATGAATCTACATTTACTTTGGATGATACATAAAACATTCTAGTTGTCATATAAGCCATTGTGCACAAAAATTATTTTGAAAACAAAAGAAACAACAGTTTAGGCTGTGGTACTTACCAACAGAAATAATTAAAGAGTTAGAGAGCATCCCATTGGTGGGTCACTCAGCACACTCGCAATGGATTTTTCATTTAGTGCCACGTGACTCACCAGTCATAAAACCTAACATTTTCTTCCATGACATTCATGTAAAGCTGTATATGGCAGAAATGTTCATAATGTCTTTGGCACCACAATAATGATGATCAATTATACATTATGGCATTCAATGTGCTAACTACGTTTTGATGCCAAATTTATACATACACATTTATCATAAAGTAGTTTAATTACATTTTGAATGTATCTGTTTAAAAGGTTGTGACATGTGCACTTTGACCTACGTGTAGCAAGGGTTAATCATTATCCTTCCAAGAACAATTAGTTATGTCATAGCTTATCATGAGGAGAATCTTCATCTTTCTTTTATGTCAAAATTCACTAATAATTTCTTTTCAATAGATAAGTCAACAACTACTGAAAATATAAAAATATAAAGTATATACTGGTTAATTCCATTTATAGTTGGTCTTCTGAGATTGCAAGTGAATTATAAATTTGGGTTAGTTTAGTGGTTATTTGATCTTACAGGGTTCCAATATATCTGTGGCAAAAAAAAAATACAATTCTGTAGCCAACATTTTGAAATTTTGTGCAATAAAATTGTTGACTATGCAAAAAAACAACAAATACTACACATTATTACATGGCAAAATTTTAAATTATGCAAGCCATAACTAAAGTAAAAAACAATAACAAGAAACACACTAAGTCATACTTAATGTTAAAGTTATGTCTGGCAAAATACCTAGACTTGAGTTTACTAATTCAGAACTTGATTATGTAGTTATATGTAAACTATGCAGTAAATTGCCATGGCCATAAAACTGTGTCAAACTTGGAACCCTGATCTTATTACACAAAATATAACTTACTGATACAAATCCTCCTATAATTCCCACCAGAGATCCTGCTAGAACATCCCACCAAAAATGGCGGTAATCAGAAATTCTGGTTAAGCTACATACTAAGGCCCAGGAAAGGAACAATAGTTGCACCCATGACTTTAGAAGGTGTGATCTTGAAGTACGCCGAATACGAACTTGTGCATAAAGCTAAATTAGAGTAGGATAAACACAAGGTTAGTTTAAAAACTGTGTATATTAACTTTCATGTATCATCAAAAAAGGAACTTTAAAGATTGAACTGACTACACTGTTACAAAATGAATGCATTTTATCTCCACAACTGCAACAAAAAAATAAATTATAACATTTATTTTAATCATACTAGCAACGTTCAATTTTGTAGTCATAATACATGAAAAATAAATCCAAATTTATGAAGAAACTTTTCATCTGAAAGGCATAAAAAATTATAACATATACACATCGGGTTGAGTGCATTACATTAAAACAATTTCAAATATACAAATTAGCAAGTCACATGAAAAACCACAGCCAAAATAAATTATCTACGGAATGGCATGTATCAAACTACATTTTTACGTTGTTTGGCTTTCTGTACGTAGTGTGATGCCGCTTAAAACTGAGTGCTTTTGGGAAGGATATGCAATAGCACTTTTCAATGAAAAATATTTATACACTTAGATCATGAAAATGTTTTCAATTGGGCATTTAAAATGGAGATATCCTTTGTACTTAATATGAATGGAAAAAAATGTACATGGATGAACCTCAGTCACCAAGACCATCCAAAAAAAAAAGATTTGCAATAAGTCATACTCCAGCTGTAGTAAACAAAGTGCACCATCTTATAACAGGTGAAAATCCACAAATACAAAGGTTAGTGGCAAAAGCATCTGCATGGCCTAGACAACAGTAAGCAATACAACCAAGAAAGATCTGTATATGAAAAGGCAACACATTTCATACATCTACACAAACTGCTTCTATAGTATACCTGTTGAACCGTCGCATACCTCAAGAGCTTTGAGAATGAAACAGATAATCATGCTATTTCATATGAAGATATACTGGTCAAGTTGCCAGATGCTGCATCTATGAATTTCCATGTGAACAGATTATTTGTGGACTGGGAGCTATAAACCTTGTACACTAGATGGAATATAAAAAATCTGTAGGGAGGAATGGTGTGCTTTGGACATGGCAATCTTACAACAGTGTTTTTTGCAGTGAAATCTATGCAGCAGGGCTGTTATCTAGATGCAGACAGAGCATGACCTGATGCAGCAACACTGACTATTACGACATGCACAAGCTCCAAAACGGTTTTCATATAACATACTGCACCTCTGTATAATTTCATCTGTCTTCCAATTTAAGAATCTTTTAAATTAAAGGTAAACACTACAGGTGCCATAAAGAAAGAAAAAACACACACACTAAAGACATAATATATAAACACATTTTTTTAATGAAAGTTATTTTAGTGTGAAAAGGTAACTTTTGAAAACTGTCCAATGGAGATAACATAAGATAGATCTGACCCATCTTAATATTTTGTAGAAGCATGCATGTATAAATAAACATTCCATGAAAATTAAGATAGTTAAAAAACTTAACAATACATCCAAACTAAAAGTGAATTATTACACTTACACTGACAAACACTAATGTGTAGAAAGAAAGTGATGTATGGCCTGATGGAAAAGATTTGTAGATATCCACTTGTACTAGCCAGTAAGGACTCTTATTGGTACATTTGTATTCAGTAATAATCCTGGATATAAAAATATAACAAATAGATCACATTAATAATGAAAAATTTAATTACTTCATTAAAAACAACCATAACCTTTTAATGTAACAATTAGTTAATCATCTAAGTAATGTAAAAAATGTTCTCTGAGGAATAGTATAAAATAATACAATTTGATAAGTTATATAAAAAAGTAGATTATTCCTAAGAGTTGTACGAAATATAATTTTGCTTCACTATTTGATCCTCTTCTACTTTTGATTTTACTCTTGAAGTATGATGTATACCAAAACATATAAAATTTGAGCAAATGTACAGCACACATAAGCCAAAATTATAACATGTGCAGTATTTATCTAGCATTTTCATGAAACAAGCTTAAAACACATAAAAAGCAGTAGAATATATAATAAAATAATGAGATATTGTGAGTTTGAAGACATAATTTACAGAACTTTTATAAAAATTAACTGCGTCACTTCTCTTTATAGTGCATTTGCTTGTAACATTTATTGCTTCTGCATTAAATATATATATTCTAGATAATAAAATCATGCCAGTAATCAGTCACAACCCAGTAAGGTACATTCACACAACTAATTCCCACCTTAAATGACTGAGCCAGTAAATTTTCACTCACCAAATACCATTCCTACTGTGGTTTCATGATCTTAGTTGCCTATAAACATGACTAATCAAACTGTATTTCATTACCTACAGTTTAGACTTCTTAAGAAATGGCTAAAACTGAATAATAAATAAAGCTTAAGTGGCTATAAAAGAAAGTGTGCTGAAGGATTCAAAGTAGAGCTGGGTGATTAGTTCAACTAATTCGTTGACTGGTGTTATGTAAAATAACCGATTAATCGAAATTACAATTAAATTTATTAATGTCTCAAAAATTATCAACTAATTGTTTAGATTATTCTAATTATCCACGTGATAAAATTTTGCCATTATCATTTCTCTTTATTATTTTTGATTAATTAAGGGCTGTTCAGCTTAATTGATCAGTGTCGTGACCCATAAAAGTAATCAACTATCCAAGCCTTTGATTAGTTCAAACAAATCAACTAATGAGCATGACAATTAGTTGATCATCAAATTCCAATAACTGCCCAGCTCTACTTAGAAGATAATATAATATTATGCAACTTACTGACAGTGTGTTTTGTTCTGAACTTCATGTAAAACTAGTTGCTCTAGCCGTCCCTAACTTAGCAGTGAAAGACTAGATGGAAGTCAGCTAGTCATCATCGCCAACTCTTGGGATACTTTTTTCAAGGAATACTGGGATTGATTGTCATATTATAATGCCCCCGTGGTTGAAAAGGCGAGTATGTTCGGTGATGGGGATTTGAACATGTGACTCACAGATTATGGATTTCATATGTCTTATGTTTGGGACATGTTTTACAACTACACTTTGCCCATTGAACAATTATCTTTTTTTACTGTTGCTAGAAAAATACTCCTGGTAGACTTCAAAGACTTCAAATTTGAACTGTGAAAGTCTAGTATATATATATATATATATACAGGAACAATTAAAAAAATGTTTATGCTTCAAAACCAAAAAATATATACACAGTAATAAATGTATTTAAATTAATGTAGCAACATTTGTTTTTGT